TTTTTTTTTTTTTTTTTGGTTTTTCGAGACAGGGTTTCTCTGTATTGTTTTCGAGGCTGTCGGTCCAGCCTGGCCTCGAACTCACAGAGATCCGCCTGCCTCTGCCTCCCGAGTGCTGGGATTAAAGGCGTGTGCCACCATCGCCCGGCCCTCCACCCTCCTCTTACCTCCCATCTTCCTTCCTTCTTTCCCAGCTTTAAACTGGACATGCTCATTGCTTGTAGACATCTCTATTTTAAGTGTTTATGTTAAAAAAGAAAACCATCTCCTTTTTTCAGACTTGAAAATGGCTTTCTTACTTCTGCATCGACATGAGTGTCTCTGTTTTTTTCTCAGGGTTCTACAGCACTGACAAGCTCTGTGTACCCCTTTCATTTCCTTCTTCCCACAGTTACTAATCTGCAGATAGGCTTCTCATTATTCCTTGTTTACCCTGGTTTAGTAATCTTGATATGGAGTCTCCTGTTGGCACAGCTGTCTGCAGTCCTGTTTCAACACTAGATCCATATGCCTATTTTCTTAAAAAAACTTTTCTCTGTCTTTTTCTAGTTTTTAAAAAGTCAGATACATTTTCTGGTCAAAAAACATCCAGATCTCTCTAAATCTTCCCAAACCAATGATAAAACTCACTCTGCTTTCTCTGATCTGTGTTCCTGCAATCTCCACCAGTGTACTTGAAACATCCCTTCATCTAGGACTCGATTTTGTTCAGCAAGCACTTCCACATGGACCATGTTATTCTGGGAACCTGAATCAGTGTTCCTGGGCCATCATTACTTATATTTAACTTGATGTAAAGTATTTCTCATTTCCCTCAAGCAATAAAAAGGGGGAGAAGATTTACCTTCAGGGAAATAGCGTCATTCTTAGGATTTTGGGTGGTATCAGAAAAGACAGTCACACTTTTGAGTTAGAACTCAGAAAAGTGGAATGGTTTTGCTTCAAAGATTTCTACACAACTATTTCTAAGGAGGAGCTTCTGGGGACATAAATACCTCATCTCATTAATGTGCCCATTTCCTTAGTATGTATTCAGGAGAATCAGCTTTCCCTAAGGGTAGTCCAGCGATCAACAGTCTTAAGTGGCAACACATTTTACCCCCTTTTATAAAAGTTAAATTTATTTATTCATTGTGTGTATTGTGCTTGCATATGCATTTCATGTACCATGATGAATGAGTGGAAGTCTTAGGACAACTAGCAAGGGTCAGTTCTCTTCTTCCAACACATGTCGACTGAACTCAGTTCCTCAGGCTTGGTGGCAAGCATCTTTTCTTGTGACGTGATCCTCTTGGTGCATCATATTCCATTTTGTTCCATCTTATACAAAATGTTTTCTTCCACGAATACGTGGTACAGCCCAAACTCATGCACAGAATTCAACTGTCATGTCTCATCTGTGTCTTTTAATTTCATAGGAAATTGTGAACAATTTCTTAGATTCTCTTTACCTTTCATGCACTGACATTTTAAAAGTAAGCACAGCTTTGTCTTTATCCAAATTTCTCTTAAAAATAGCAACTTTAAGATCTTTTCAAGAATCAAGAGCATTTTGTTGGTTCAGTAAACAAACATGCTTGTTTTTCATGAGATATCTTTTAAAGAACCTGTGCTTGACATTGACTCTTTTTTTGTTTTTAGAGACAGGGTTTCTCTGTGTAACAGCCCTTGGCTGTACTGGAACTTACTTTGTGAACCAGGGTGGCCTTGAACTCACAGAGATCCATTTGCCTCTGCCTCCCAAGTGCTGGGATTAAAGGCACACATTGAGTATAATTTTTGCTTCAGATGAAAAATTTTTATATATATTTCCATTCAGACAGGAAGAGATGGTGTTAGGGTATCTGGCTGTAGCTTGTAACAGTTAGCCAAATCAAATTGAAAGAGTCACACTGATGTAGAAGGTATGTTTTATAAAGCTTATGGCTAGTGGCTACATGAAAGAGAGGCTATAAAAGGAAGGTGCAGTCAGGCTGGGGATATCTCAAGTCAGTAAAGAGCTTGCCTTACAAGCCCCAGAACTAGGTTTGATTTCTAGAACCTATGATCCAGGCCTGTGCTGGGCTGTCATTTGTTTCTGACCTGAGCATTGGACAGTGAGAGAAAAAAGGCTCCCTGGGGTTCACTGACCAGCTAACCTGGTCTACCTGGTGAGTCTAGCCCAATGGGAGACACTTTATCAAGGTCAAGGAGGTGAACAGTGTTCCAGAAGATGACACTTGAGGTTGTCCTCTATTCTCCAGCTGCACACACATGTGCCCACACCACTTCCCTCACCAGGCACACACACACTCACATATGCATTAAAATAATTATGTCATTGTTCATAATAAAGAGGGGTGAATGTTTGGCCTCTGTCTTGGGGGTGGGGCATAGCAGTAGTGGCAGGATTCAGAGAAGAGCACAGGGAACAGACCCCAGTGAGCTGTGATGGGGAAAAGGGAAGGAGCACTTCCGTGAAGGGCTGGGACCAGGGGAAAATGAAACCCTTTGCAGATTTTTGAACACTATCAACACATGAGTTCTGTGGTATGCCGAGATTCTGTTACTTGTCAATATTATTTCATTTTCTTTAATCAATAGATATGCAGAGGGACTAAGAAATGTGAAGGAATGGAAAACATTTTGAGGAGCCAAGAGACAAGCTCTTCAGGGAATGTCTCCATGGAAGAAGTCCTTTAGTTTTTGCCTTATTTTCTGAAGTCACACATCCATATCTGACTCCCCTGTATCTGTCCCAGTCTGTAGCAATATGCTGGTCCCCTTGAGAAACCCAAGCTTAGAAGTGTCACTGGATCTACCTGTTCTTTAACGATCATTCTTCTAAGTTCATGTTGCCTGGTTTGCAGCTCTGGTAACTTCCCCAAAGCTCCAGCCAAAATGGCAGTAGAATTTCAGGGTAAGATTAGAAGTCAACCTATTAGCCTGCCTGCCTGCCTGCCTGTCTGTCTGTCTGTCTATCCATTTATCATCTACTTATCTAGTATCTATCTAGCACAGTAAAGTTTGTGGAGTGGTAGCTCTATGGTCCTGTCACAAAAGTTATTGGATTTTGTCTTCTTTATTGGTTCTTCTGGTAATGTTTCTCCCAATTTGAAGACTAATCTAATTTTTGGTTTTCATTCATAGACTGATTTTGTCACTTGTCAAACATACATAGTATAAATACACTTAATGATTAACAAGGGTAGAAAAGAGGTCAGTTTACTATGTATGTAGCATGCAACCACTATGTAGCTTCCATAATTCTGTAAGTCATTCTATTCAGGTTAAAAGACTTTCTCGCTTGTACCATCTAGAATGTTGAAAATAAGGATTCTTCAGTGGCCGGTCTCTGACTCCCAGAAAATGGACTTTGAAGTACCCATTCTTACAAGGACTCTATTGAGTTCCTAGCTGGGGACCTTTGTTACTGCTGTTTCAGTCTCAAGGGACAAGAGAAGTCATGTCTCTCTTAAGAGTTAATTGTATAATGGGATTGGTTAATTTTATGGATTGTTTACTGTTTTGCTAATTCATACAGATAAAATTGTTGCTTGCTATTGTTTGGTGGGACTTGCTGTCTTTAGCTAGTGAATTTTGCATACAAAATACAGCAAGGTACATAATGTGTTTTTTTCATTGGAGTAGGGGCTAGCTTTGAAGTCTGTTTGATTACAAAGTTCATATTTATCATCAAGGTACTGGTTTGGCAGTTTCATGTGTTTGATTTGGACTCTGTAATTTTCCTTCTCTTGCTTTTGTTATTCTTTGAAATCATAACCCCAAATTAAACACTTTCTTTTATTGGTTGCCTTGGTCATTGTAAATATTAGAGTTCCGAGGGGAAAGGTATCTCTAATGCAAGTGTCACAACTCTGGGAGGAAATGTATCCTGGAGACCGGGAACCAGATAATACTACAAAGTCACACTGCACACAAACCTCACACAAGAGTTTCATTGGGAAAACCACAGGAATGGGAGGCAGGTTTATATAGGGCTTCTTGGGACCAGAATTTTCCAGGGTGGAAATTTCTAGGGTGAGGATTGGTGGGATTTCAAGCCCTGAGCTGGGGGTGAGTTCAGGGACTGATGGGATTTCAAGCCTGGAAATTGAGCCCAGGCTTTTTACCCTACAGTCACACAACAGAAAATTAACTAATCAGAAATCAACTTTATAAATAGCCTGCTCACTGAACATGCTTTTGTTTTTCTGGGCGCTCTGTTTGGACTTGTGGGTCTGTGGTTCTGGCATTTTTTCTGCCAAACTATACTGCTGTGTCCCTAGGACTCAATAGTGTATTTTGGAGTATAATGGCTCCTGTTCTGTACTTTTTGCTCTGGACACTATGTCTATTTACATTTTTTTGTGACTCCATACAGATTTTAAGGCTGCTTTCCTAGTTTTTGAGGGATGTTATTAGTATTTTATTAAGATTGCATTGAATCTGTAGATATCTTTGGATACTATGGGCATTTTTAACAACATGGATTCATGAATAAAATGTTTTTCCATTTTTTGGATGTCTTCAGTTTGTATCATCAGTGTTTTATATTCTCCTTTCTTGCTACCCCTGCATGGTCTGGGCCCTTACACTGCCTTTCATGTGGACCGCTGGAGGAACGCTCTGCCCCCCCCACTGGCTGGTGTGAGCATCTGCAGATGTGCCCCCATCCCACTCATCATCACCTCCCAGGCTGATGCGGTGTAAGCGATTCTCGTGCCAGCTGCTTACAGCATCCATGCACGTCTCAGTCTTCTCTCTGCAGACCTGTTTCCTGTCACTTTCTGCCCCAGCCTTGTCGTCTCGGAGATGAGCAAACGGGAGGTCTTTTGGCCTGTCTACTTTCCCTGTGGTTTCACTTGATTACAAAGCCATTCTTGGCTTTGTCTTGAATGGGGAAATCTGAAATATGCTGCTTACTGCAGTGATGAAAAACCCGAGAATGGGCAAACAGATAACTGAGGTAAAAAGGGAAGGGAGCGAGGAAGAGACACACAGGGAGAGAGGGCGCCTACCTTGCCTGCAGTGCTCATGGTGACTTTCCTCTGTTCTTGTTTAGTGGAACTGTCTGGTGCCAGGAGGTCCTGGTGGCGATATTTACTGTGGAAACAATGAGAGTGTGTCAGCCTATGAGCACTGGCAGCTCAAGTATCTGGGATCTGAGCTTTCTGTATAGTCAAGTCAGATAATTAAGCCACATCCTGTCAAATCTCAGGAAATGTGTATTTTCTTGTTACTTGAAGGAGATTCCTGTGAACCTATGTGGTAGGTTTCCTCATTACTGGAAATATTTTAGTTCCCCTCTAACCTTATCTGTAGGGCAGATTTAGATCATGGAGCCTAGCCTTCTAAGAGATAGGCCTTTGTCTACCAGAAACTTTCATAGTTTATGTCAGGCCAGTGGCCAAGTCCTTTGTCAGTAGTCATCATTTGTTCAGGCTACTATTTGAGATGCACTGGGGTCCTACTCCCCTCTGCTTGAGCCTGAGGTTACTTCAGTTTACATCACAGAAAAACAGGACATTAAATAGCTTCTGGGAAAAGAGAGAGAAGCTCTGTGTGTTAGAATGCAAGGTTTCTTACTTTGATATGTCTGTCCTCCACGGCGTTTGCAGGAAACTCATGTTTATCTCCTAAAATAAAACCAGCTGGACTCCAAGGTGGGGGTGGGGAGTCTACCCTACTTCCCTCCATTGTGGAGTATCCATAGTTTCATTATCTTTGCCATAGACCTAGATACTAGATACTTCTGTGCGTGTCCTTTTTCTGGTTAGTGGTCAAAGATACCTGACTGAGGTTTTCTCTGCCCCCAAGATGGAGATGGAGAGAATGTGTGTTGCTGACAGGAAAAATGCTATACCACTACTGCAGCTTCACTGTTAAGAAGTACTAATGGATTAGGTAATGTTTAGAGAGCCATGATTTTCTAGTGGAGTATCTTGCCTTACAGCTGACTAATCAGGGTGGTGGTTCCTGAAGGAAGGGACACATGCAACAAATTCTTAAAAACAACAATAACATTTAGCATGTTAATCAAATCTTCCTTACATAAATATATTTCTGTAGTATATAAGGTTTGGTAGCTTTACCCCACAATAAAACTTTCAAAATTGGGGTCAGTCATCTCAAGTCCAATACTGCTTTTAAACTATTTTTTTTGCAATATTTTATATCCCTCATTGTCATTTAAACATCAATCATAGCATATTACCCATAGTAGAGTCCATCTTGAGAAAATACTTTCTAGATTGGAGAGATGGCTCAGTGCTTAAGGAACACTGGGGGCTCTTTCAGAGAACCTGGATTCGATTTCCCACACCTAAAAGGTGGCTAACAACTGCCTGTAATGTAAGTTCCTAATGGCCCAATGCACTCTTCTGCCTCCATGGACACCAGGTATGCACAGTACACAGAGGCACATGTAGAAACACACACACACACACACACACACACACACACACACACACACACACACACACAGGAACAAAAAACCCAGCCAAGTCTTTAGGGAAAGGAACTAGTTAGTGTCTTTGCACCTCTCTAAGAAGGATGGCCTCACCCATGAAAGTTCTGTTATGTGAATCCAGCAGTTCAGCCACACTTCAGACTCGACTTCTAATTCTGGTTCTTTTGCTATTTCTTCTCTTTCCTTGTTTTCTGGAAGGAAAGGAATCAGTTAAGAGACATAGTTTATTTAATAAAGCAAAACATGCATTCAAAAGAGAGGTTGGAGTGAGCTACAGTGTTTATGACTACTAATGAAGCTGGTAGCATATCATTGGTGACATTTTTTTTAAATGGTGACTTTTTTTAGCCTCTCCAATCCTGATCCTCTTAGGATAGTCTTCATATGATCTGGGAAAGCCTACAAGGGAAGTGAAAGCCTTTACTTTCGTTGTACTTTAATGAAGTTAAGGTCTTTGGAGGACACAGATCCTTTATTAGTGTGTGGCACTTGGGAAAGTACCTGATACCTTAGTTTCTGACATAGCCAAAAGAACTTGTCGAAGTTTCAAGGATGCTTAACCACAGAGGTGTTTTTTTTTTTTAATGAGAATACAGAGCAACCAAGGTATAGCAGCAGTTTCCTTGGAACACTTTTAACCCCTTGCCTACCCAGGACCATTTCTACATTCTCCACTGAAGTCTTGACCTCTCTGAAATAATCCATGCAAGAGAGTTACAGATCACCATGTTTATTAAGCCAGTTAGGTGAGTTATTTGTTAGCTGGCCAACAGCAGCAGGCTAGTGCCTCAGAAAAACTCTCAGGTAGAGGAGGGTTTTAAAGGCTGCAATGGCATCATACCAGGCTCGTGCTGAGCTGTGGGTTTTTGTTTGTTTGAACACAACAGGACCCTTTCTTAACAGGGAAGGAGGGGCCCCTTTGATCTATTAAGCATCTTCCAAATACTCTTCTTCAGAAAAAGGATGGTGCCCTCTTCTCTCACACAGACATACATGCAGGCAGAACACTGTATATAATAAACAAATCTTAAGAAAGGAGGAAAAGAGAAAAAGGAGGGACTGTTCACGTGCACCACAAGCCTCCAGAGGAGAGGCGGTGTGGGGTCAGGGTTATGGGACCTCTCCTAGGCTGCTTCCTTCTCCACTTTCAGATCTTTGGATGGGAGCTTTAGAGCCATTTCATTTACACCCAAGACCGCCTCTCACCCCGATACCCAGAGCCATTTCATTCATCCCCCAAGATCACTTCTCACCCTGATACTCAGTCATTTCAGTCACACCCCAAGACCGCTTCTCACTCCTCGTACTTTAATGAAGTCAAGGACTGAACCTCTGAAAACAGTAAGCCACCCATTGAATGTTTTCCTTTATCAGAGTTTCCATGGCCATGCTGTCTCATCTTACAGCAGTAGAACTAAGACACCACGTGAAAAGAATCAGTTGTGTCAGATTAGACAAGCCTTACAACAAGGGTGGAGGTGGGGAATTGGCTACATTGCACATCAGGCTGGATCAAAGGGTCGGCTATTTGCTCTTCATACAGTATGATTATTTTTCATAAAATACTTTATTGTCTTTAGGAAAAAATCTGCTCAGTTACAGAATATCTGTTAGTGGCAGCTACAGTTCTTCACAGAAGCTTAAATAAGAAGCTTAACTAGAGCCACGCACTCTGGTGTGTGTAACGTGTACCTTCTTGGCAGTCGCCTGGGTCCCGTTGCTGCTTTAGCCCCCAAATAACACACAAGACACTATATTAATTATGAAGCTGTTGGCCATTTGCTATTGTTTCTCATTGGCTATCTATGACTTAATTATTGACCTATAATTACTAATATATATTTTTATAAGGCCTTATCTTAATGAGACTGTCAGACTTGCGTTCTCTCCTCCTGGGATCACTAGCTATCCCAGAACCCTCCTCGACTCCTAGTCCCAACTATCTTGCTTCCCTATTGGCCAACAGTGCTTTATTTAATCAGCCAATCAGATAAACATACACAGGAGGACTTCCCCCATCAGATGTATGCTTGCAGTCCCAGTAGTTCGGAGGCTGAAGCAAGAGAATCTCTAAGAATTTGAGCCTAACCCGGACTCCTCCCAATGAAGCAGAGTACCAAAGTGGGGTTTAGAGGCCTGGGGCTAGACAGAAGGATCAAGCATGGATCCCCCAAAGCAATCTTCATGGAATGTGGTCACATATTGTATCCTCAGAGGACCTTATGGGGCTGAAGAGAGCCTCAGCAGCTAAGAGTATATAGTGCTCTTGTTATTATTAATTAAAATAATTAATAATTCTTATTTTTAGTGCCTTTAATTGAAATAGAATTGTATCACCTTCCCTTCCATATCTTCCCTCCAACCCCTCCTAGTTACTCTCACTTGAACTCCTGCCACCCCTCCAAATTGATAGCCTCTTTTCATTTATTGTATTTCTTTCCTCTCTCTCTCTCTCTCTCTCTCTCTCTCTCTCTCTCTCTCTCTCTCTCTCTCGTTCTCTCTCTGTTCAAAGAAGGAGTCGCAAATAAGCAACATAATTAAAATTTGGGGAAAAAAGAATCTATCTACAACATGTTCCTTCTATCCACGTCTCTTTATTATTCTCCATTGCATCAAAATGTTTCAAAGGTGAGAATGGATTGTGAGTGCCCTGTGAACTCCTTGAGAAGGCTAGTTGAGAGATTTAATCATCAGGTAATTCAAAAAAGGGGGACTAGTGTGCTACGCTACATTTTTAAGTAGTTAGATAAAAAGCTAAAAGTTTATATTCAGTAAAAGACACAAGTAAGGCAAAGATTGTCTTTTTCCTGAGCAGCCACTTTTTCTCCAGAATGTATAGAGAGTTTTGGGTACCCAGGCAACTTAGTAAACAACAGAGGAATGTAAGCAAGCAGCTTTTGGTCTTCTGTCTGTACTTTAGCTATGGTTTCCTGCTAAGAGAAGCATGTAGCATCAGTTACTTAGGGCTGGGTCAAAAAAGTATCTAAATTTTACAAGAAATGGAGCCTGGCACCTACCAGTGCTCTGGCTTCAGTGACAGCACAGGCCTTCAGGAAAGTTTACTTTTTCCTGAGGATGAGTAAATGAGCTGATTACCTTTGTTGTCATCTTCTCAGGAGAAACAGGAGGAAGCAGTAAATATCTGTGCTAAGATCCTGAGTTAATAACCTGGGATGAAGGTAAATGCAAGAAATCTAAGAATCCTTCAGTGTGGGGTTAGTTTAGGTCATTCTCTATCTGCCAGTGAGGTAATGTGAGGGAATGCTTATTTTCTCTACCCATCTGGGCAGCTATGAATCAACAGCGTTGGGTATGTCGTAATTCTATGTCCTTGGATATCGGGGAATGACTTGGAATGCTTTTGCTTGGGTTGTAAACACTAGCCAAATGCCTGTCAATAAGGATAATTACAGGAAGGCAGATGTCTGTAATTACACAGGAGAGGGAACAAGGACCTGATAGTGGGAAATAGGTCTCACACATAGCTAAGGGAAGCAATCAGTAAACTAGGACCTGGTAATGGAGAACAGGTTTCACACATAGCTAAAGAATATAATCAGTAAACTCCAAGTGCGTGGGAGAAGTTGTGCCCAGTAAATGATCAGATAGTGCTAAACTGTGGGAAGTAAATCTCAAGTTTGTTACATGAAGGAATAA